AAAGTACACCCTTATAAAAATAAAACAAGAATATCAAGTATTCGTACCCAGGTCAATGATTTCGGCCTCCGGAACCTTCAGGAACCGGACGGAAACGGTGTATTTTCCGGCCTCTTCCCACCGTTTCCGGTGTCTTTCTCACCGGAAATGGCCGGAAAAACACCCGGGACATGGAAGCAGTATTCCGGCCGGAAATTTCTCGTACCCGGAAACGCAGCGTTCCGAGAATTTCCCGCTGACGGAAATCCACGGGAAAAAAGCAATAACCCGCAGGAACCGACCGTAAACCGTCAAGGAACGAACCGTTTCTCACCGGAAAACTCGGAGGATCCGCTCATCACATCTTTGAAAGATCTAGGAGTGTGGGTGGGGTGTGAGTGTGTGGGTATGGGTGTGAGTGTGGGCGTGGGTGTGGGTGTGGGTATGGGTGTGAGTGGGGGCGTGGGTGTGGGTGTGGGTGCAGAAATACAGATTTACACCCACCCACACGCACACCCACACCCCACACCCACACCCCACACCCACACCCACACCCACCCACACCCACATCCCAAATGTTTCACTTTCTTCTAGTGATGAACACTCTCTTGAACGTCTTCTCACTAATATTTATGTCAATGTATAAATATTCGGTGTGAATTGTAAAATATCGACTACCACACTTAAATCTATAGCAACAGTTTCGATATTTAGATTAGTAAGTTGAGTTAATGGAATACTCCATTTGATATTATTATCGGCAAACAAGCTAGAAACAATATGACAATCATGATGAACAGTCACTTCTCTAGCATATGGAAAGTGTGTTGAATAAATTTTTGGTGGATAGAAATCGGCCAGAATAGCATGTTGCACTGAATTAGAAGTTTTGACATGACATGTATATGCATTAAAAATTTGAATGGCGAGTCAATACAACATTGTTTGCTCTTAAAAAAATAAAAATAAAATTCAAATTTACTAAGCAATCATTTTTACTTATGTGTCCGTATTGAATAGAATATTTCATGTAAATAAGCGTCTGGTATAGGTTCATGTGTAAAGAACCATTGTTGCACATGTGGAAAAGAGTCATAACGAGGATTATATATTGATTCATAGGTTTGTAGTACACGACGACAATGATTTATGTCTTCACCAGGAAAATCAAAGACACGTACATGTGATAAACAAGATGAAATTAGTTTTACCCATGGTGGATAATTGGACCATAACAGAAATGATGAAATGTGTATCACTTTAATCTGATGAGCAGAATTTTTGATAAACTGTTCAACACTATCAAATTGTAAATGGTCTCCTATAATACAAACATGTGTTAAATTATTTAACACCATTAAAAATACTATTGTTGATTGTGGATAAAGTTTAAGTTGGTGTTTAATGGATAAACGACGAGCATGAGAAATATATATGATAAAATAACTTCAACTTCATCCAGATTATAATAATCATTAATAATAAAATGTTCAATCGGACTTAATGGATTCGTACATATAGGCAATGATCCAAATCGAACATCCTCTTCAAAAGATATTTTATAATATTTTAATACTGGTAAATGAAATATCAGACTGTAAATAGTAACTTTATTGGCATGACAACCAACATAAATCGATAATGAAGAAAGATTATTCAATGATATAATGTTCCATAAGGTCAACTATATCTTTCTAAATTGTTTTCGATTGTTCTTCAATTGGGTTATTACGAGTAATACTTATACAATCAGAAAGAAAAAATTATGTTTTAACACTTGACTCATTTTCTCAAATTGTAGCCGATTACCTGGTAAATCAATAAGTGTTAAATCTGCTTGGATATCATGCTTGTAGACAGTTAAGTAAATAGGCTTTGACGAAACAGTATGTTTTGCACCAGCCAATCGTACAGTACAATCCGTTACTTTGGCCGTGATCACCGAAAAGTTATTGATTCTGATCACGGGCACACCTTCACATCGAATGGTAGCATATTCCTTCTGAGTAAATGGAATAGTTTTCATACGTAACTCTAGTGGACATCATGTCCAAATATTTTGTGCTCGTGGTAATTGAACTTCACTCAATGCTTCGAGTTTTTTTATTGAATAACTGCGAAATATTCTAATGGAATTTATAGATTGTTTTTGTTTGAATTATTTTCATCTTCTATTGTCTCTTAACTTTAATTCTACTTCTGAATTTTTTCTACGAGTGTTTGCCATTTCTTTTTCTCTTCCTCACTTTCGTAATGTTTTTTTACTATATAAATCATGTAAAATCTCCATGATGGAATATGTCGATAAGATAACAAACATCACACCTCAACAATAATAAATCATTTTTTTCATTTTTCATTGATAGATATTATATAAATGATATTTGTGTTTTTCTAATAACACAAATTGAAGATTGATAAGACTTTTTCTTCTTATATATATATATTTGAAAATAAAATCCGCAGAACAATATTACATTACTCATAATTAAGATGACGAAAATATCTAACACAATGCAAAATGAATTGTTAGAAAAAAAAAGTTTTCTTCATACATGAAAAACTATGGTTTAATCATATATTTCGATACTAGACACAATGAATGGCGCACAGATTCTCCTTTACAAAGAGTATTGTCTACAATACATAATCATACATACGTTTTTATTTCATGTTTCAACTTTCTAATGTAACGGACTTTTTATGCACAAATGAAAGAAAACACTCAAGTATATTATATAAACATATCATCTTTTCGATGAAGAAAAAAAGAAAAGAAATATGAAGAGCAAGCAACATTTGTGTAGTATGCTCCTATGATGCATGTGTTACAATTGATATGAGACTTTAGTTGAGATTAGAGTACGCGAAATAATTAAAAACAAAAGGAAAAAAAAATTGTCTTTTACTTATAACTAAAACTTTAATAAAATATACATGTCGTAGATTTCATTTTTATCTTTTTAACTTGAATTTAATCAACATCAAATCGGAAGTCGGGCGAGGAAAACATTTGACTAACATATTACAATACAATACGATGAATATAGTGGTTATCACTTTTACACTTGATAATCGTATAATTCGCGTATTCTTTAAGACATAAAATGCGCAATTTAAAATAAACGAAGAAGGACATGTTATTTTCAGATTTTATCTTTAAAATCTGCAGTAATTTCATTTCGAAAATAGAAATCTTCTTTGCAATTGGTAAAATATAAACAAATTTCCTTTTTCTTTCTTGAATTTATAATGTGTTGAATCATCATTTCATGATGAATATCTTTCTCGACTCATTTCTTCTATTTTTTTAACCTAGCAGAGACCAAAACGAATAAGAAAATTTCGATTCGATTCGGCTTTTTTATAAGTTTTTAAATCATATGTTGCCGAATATGATTTTGCCCCAAATGCAGATTCCCCAACATATGCAATTAAGTAATGATATATTGACAAGACGTTATATATCGAATATATAATTCACCTATATAAATCGTTATCAATAATGAAGACAAAAATCTTGATCTCTGAAAATGTACATTTCATTTGCATTTCGTAAGAATAGTACTCTAATCTAATAGTTACTCATCAATTTGTTCATCTATAGAAAATTTTCTAAATCGATCTATAGACAATATTATACAAAATTTCAAGATTCGAAGATTTATCATTATAGTTTCAATGAAATGAAACGTTCAGAGACCTGTAGTAAAAACAATTCATTCATCTTGTAATTGATAATATTTTCATTTAAGATATAAAAATAATTATATATTTTGATAAAATGTGCATAAGACAAAATTGTTTGATTCTGTTTTTTTTTAAGAATATGATAACATTAATGACAAATTAGAGAAAATCGATGACCGTATAGATTGTAGTCCAAAAAGACAAAGATCATTATCAAT